TAAACATCTTCTCTAATAGGAATTAAGTACTCTTGAGAGAGATAGCTATGTATCAACTAAGTGTAATCTGTCAAGAGTATTATTTTAAAGAAATACAAGCCATCTGCGAGCTCTTTAATCGTTCAGCAGTAATAAGGTCAACTCTTAAGACTTGATTGAAAGCCTGGTCCTTTAAGATTTTGTTTACTGGTTTTCGCAGCAATTGGTAGTTGAACGGCAGTTAAACATTTTTTAAGGCGGCACTTGGATTGCTTTTTCGTAATTAAGCTTACTATATTTGGAAAATGAAGGAAAAGCATTGTAAACTGTATCACACATTGTGCTAAAACAAAACTGATGCATATACATAATGACTTTGATAGAGGGAACTTTTTCTGTGGATTTCTATTATTAATGTGCCAGCTGCAGTGCGTCATGTTTCAATTCTGGTCGAGTCATAAACATTTTAGGTCGCTGCATGACTTATTTGACCTTTCCATTTGTTTTTACAGTTTGTGATCCTAAGAGCCTACTCTTCGTATTTGGGATGCAATTAGACTACAGTGATGCCCTGATTGGGGGAGGCTTCAATTTCAAAAATCCTAATGCAACACAGACCTGTGGATGTGGTAAATCCTTTAATGCAGAAATGTAAAATCATGTTTATAGACATTAGTAACAATATTATGGTGATTGTTTCAAGCAATACTTTGGAATATTTATAGGATTTTATACTAACAATTAGTACATTATAGGAATTGTCGGGAAAAAAACTACTGAATTTGTCTGTTATTCCTATTTCTGTGTATGTTTGCTTTGCTGCATCAGTTTATTGTTAAGGTCTATATTGTAAACATACTCATAGGATCTGTTGTATTTATTGTCCGAAATCTGTTTCTTATGATATGAAGGATCAGCAGAATTACTAACTACTGAATCTCGAATCTCTCTATCTGTTGATGCTTCGATTATGGTATTAGTGGTGCACTGAAAAATCAAAACTCGAAAGTACCTGCAGAAGTTTGAGAGTTTAAGTATTAATATTTCAAAATAGGTCTTTTATAGCATTTGATGCTTAAATGCTCAAGGTAAGACATTTTATTGCATCATTGGGGCTTTTGGACATTGAACTTCTGATTGTGTGCACTTGGTTGAGAGTGAACTTTTTGGTTTCTTTTTCATGAACCACTTTGAGAATTGGCGAAGCATCCAAAGCATAACTGCTCACATGATCTTGCCGATAGATAGGAGCATTCGGTAGAACCGGTGAACTTACTATACAATATTTTTTCTTAAAAAAAGTACAGTATATTATTATTATTCTAGTAGAAGTACTGGATTCTGCATTATACCTTATATATCAGTACATTCGAACAATCAAATGTTTTTTACTGGTTCAGCAAGCTAGCCGAACTATCAAACAAACAAAAGTCTTAATACATTTATTAGATCAAAAGGGAAATATAATCATTATGATTGATCAAACACTTTGAAGTCATATGCAAAGAAAACTGAAAGTGATAAATACTTTTTAATTATTTATTTAAAAATCATTTTCAATCATTTTTTGAAGTTCTGTATAAAATGTTGAAATGAATTGATTTTTGAAGTTCGGTAAAAAATGTTGAAATTAATTGATTTTCAAAGTTTTTCTAATTGTTACCGGCCAATAAGTTTCTAACATTTCACGTTTTTAAAATTTAAAATTTAAATTGGTGAAGTGATTAAAATACAAAATTATTTTAAAAAATAAATTTGTGAGAATCTATAAATCTACGGAATTCTTTTATTGAATATTAAAAACTCAAATATAATTATGGATGATTGTTATCAAAACTTTGTTTATTTAAAATTTTAAATAAATATTGAATTTGATTTTATTTATTTTCATAGAAATTGCTTTATAATTCTTTTTACTTGAAAATAAGAACAAATGTTATGAATGATTGATCTTTAAAATTAAATATCAAATTGTATTTCTTACAAATCGTATTTTAAGGAAGTTGTTCAAGTGTACTTTTTGTTAGAAAAATATTGTTTTCCGTATTTTTTTTTCTTTCTCAAATGTTTTCTTCTTGAAATATTAATAGAAGATTTGTGTATTCAAACAAGAAACGTATTTTTTTTCTTTCTCAAATGTTTTCTTCTTCTTAAATATATTAATAGAAGATTCGTGTATTCCAACCGGAAAAATCATTCATATCTAAAATCATGCTTTTGTAATGGAATTATAGTTAAAAAAGAATTTTGTCATAGGACGATCATAGCATAATATAAACATATTACACTTCAAGAGAAGAAAATTTTCAACTTTGTCATACATTATCAATTGAATTGCATTTGTACTATTGTTATATAGAAGGACATGATAACTCAATAGTTATAGTACATAAAACAATATGCAATTGTTAATATAGTTGGAACACTTGAGAAGAAGTCAAAACCTAAAAAATGGATAATGAAAATATATATTTAGATATATAAAAACAAGATAGTAAACTTCACCTAGTTGAAACAAAAAAAAAATGTTTTGTAAAAAAAAAATTGCAATATACCTAGAATATTTTAGAAAGTGAAAGAAAAAGAAATTAGAAAAAAATATGAAACATTTAAATACCTAGAGAACGATATGAAAAACTTTTTTAAAAATTACATTAGTTGTTTGAGATAATAGACAATTAAGATTTTCAAATCAGCATTTCTCTTGACTTTTGACATTGCCACATAGAGTTATTCGTGACTTAACACATCGTTTGACAAATATAAATTAATAAAGTCTAATGATTGACCTTGAAATTTATTAATTGTCATGGAAAATGAGACAATAATGAGGAATTGTCTTCTGATAAATTTGAATGGACAAGAAGATTACGAAAGAGACAAATACATTATAGGGATGTAAATAGTATTTCTAATATGTGTATATAATATAATCTTTGCTTTGATGACACGATTTGTTAGCCGAGTAACCGTCAATCTTATACAATTGCAAAGTTTTTCAGACTAATCCAAATTATAGTTGTGTCAATCTTTAGTTTTGTGGAATGATTTGCCAATTCTAAAGTTTTCAAACAGCTTAAGAATTTGAGTATCAAATGCTCGAAAGCATCATTGTCATTAGCTTCTGATCTATCAATGGAATCATTATTCAAAAATTCTTTTGTAGATTTTCTATGTGGATATCCATGACTTAGAAATGCGAGTGAATGATGTTTACTTGGAAGAGAATTGAAACTTCAACTCATTATATACTAATACTAATATTTCTATGGTTATTTGTGACCGCCTGAAAGCGCTTCCTATTTATTTGTATTTTATGATGCTTTATCGTCTAACTTGGAAATGAAGTTTATATGGTATCTATACTACTTGGAATGGTTAAAATTGGCTCACCAAAGTTGAATTTGTTCAAAATACAATAGATAATAACTCCTATAAGTCGATAAGGCATATTCCTGCTCATTAGAAGGTGAAATTCTTTCTTTAGACGATTTTACATAAGTCTCTTTATACGAGATTGATGTTGTGTCATTATGGTATGCTCTAGACGAATCTTTGTCCTAGATGCAATCAAAACGCTGAGACGACTCTACACTGTCTGAGAGACTGCGAACTTGCTACTCACTTTTAAAAATCTATTTGCTTATTGGAGGCTATTCTTCCAAGAAATAATTTATATGATTAGACTAGACATGACATCGATGACTCATTCTTTTTGTCTGCTTGCTAGTAATTGTGGTGTGCTAGGAACAAACTGTGTCTTACAAATGAAATGATATATTCATATACTTTGAAACTCATCACAATGAATTATGCTAATATGTTAGCTAAATGCTTTCTCAAACATAATCTGTCACATCCAACGAGAAAGATTACGGGGAATGCACACAAAAGTAAAAATATGATTTTGAATATTGTGGCAGTAGCGGGGTAATCCCCATGCCTTGTGTTTTGGTGGATTGATTTGAAATACTAATGATGCTTGAGTTCATGAATTTGAAATGTTGGTGACGTTTGATTTAATAATGACGTATTTAATAAAATCGATAAATTAACACGTGTACATAATAATAAAAATAAAATATATAAATATATATTATGTGAGTATTGGGGCGGGGTAGGTATTAAGGTAATTGTGCCAATGCATTTTATTGGTTAATTACTTGTGCCCATGCCCGTAACTATTTTGGGGATTTTTATGTTACCCGTTGTGGATACTTTTTACAGGTACTCACTAAGGATGAATCAAATTATCATCTATATCAATTCTACTATCAAACTTATCTCATAGTTTATTAATATTTGACATCACTGTGCGCGATTCTTCACAATATTAAATAGTTTATTTTTAGAGAATGACAAGTTCAACTATTTCATACTCTTATCATCTCTATTAATTCTACTATCAAACTTATCTCATAGTTTATTAATGTTTGACATCACTATGCGCGATTTTTCACAATATTAAATAGTTTATTTCTAGAGAATGACAAGTTCAACTATTTCATACTCTTAAAAAAGTTAATGTTTGTGCTAATCATCTAAAAAAATATAAAACTAGTAATGATGCGGTGCATCGATCCCTTGTAAAATTTTCTGTTAGACTCATCAGTCATCACTCTTTTGTTAACTAATGTTGGTGAAACTTTATTTTCTATATAATTTTTTTTTCCTTTTTCTTTTTGACTTGTGCTAAAAACAAAATATATAAATTTTTTACCACCTCACCAATTCATTGTTGGTATAATAATACTACTAAAAGAACGAAGAAATACTACTAAAAAAACCAAGAAATAGTATATTAATGTAATATTTCGAACTAATAACCTTTTTTTAGAATAAGCATCAATACGGTATCGAACGGCTGAGATAAGGTAAAACCTATTCATCGGGAATAGAGTGCACCTTACCTTGTGAATCTCTTCTCAATTTCAATATACGCCAAGAGGGGAAAACCGCATCAAAGCGAAACACAGAGAAAGCCCTAAACGCATTTCAGAGAGAGAGAGAACTCATCAGCCATGGCACTCGCTTCTCGCATCGCATCCAAATCCCGATTGGTTTGTCCTCATTTCTTCTCTTCCTACTACCTACCGATTGCATTCATATTTCACATCCCGATTTCCGATTTTGCTCTTGTAAACTATAATTTCCGGATCTCAACAGATTTCGTCTTTTCTGAAAATACATATTTGATGATTTTTCGTTCGATTACGAGTGTTTGGATCTCATTTCTTAATTCCTTTTGGAAAATTAAGTTATTAGTTTTTACCATCTATGTGCATCTAGCTAGAACTGTTCGATAATCCATCAACATCATTGCCACGGTATATAATTGATTTTTTCGGCTGATTATTTCGAGTTATATTGAGTTTCATTGCAGTGATTGATTGAAATTGAATAAGCTGGCTGAATGTAATTGAAGTTTGATATAAATTATGAACTAGTTGTTTATTAAATCAACTGTGATAGGTTCTGTAATCTACTTATACTGATTCCCCCTGAACTGTGCATATTTTTCTACTTTTTTGTTATAGCTGTATGGTAGTCAAATTCTTCTGCAAAGGGAGTTTGCTGTTCCGGTTCGTCACTATGCTAAAGGGTCTGAACTTCCTGCCCTCAAGGGAGATGGTGAGTTCTCCTATAGTTTAGGGTTGTATTTTTTTTTTTTTTTTAATTTTCTTTATTATGTGCACTCATGGATTTTGGGACTGAGACAGACATAGTCATGTTGGGGTTTGATTTTAGAGTAGTTTGTCTCTGCGTGTTGGTGCACCTTTAGCTGGCTTAATGCAGAAGATAAAAACAAATAAGCACTCTGATTTTCAGTAGAACTTTTGTGCTTTTTTCATGTGTCTTTCTGACAATATACTCTTATTTGAATGCCAAAAGAGATGCTGAAGAATGTTTATCTGGAGGTAAAGAACAAATTTGAGACAGCCATCGGAATATTAAAAAAGGAGAAGATCACTCTAGCTCCAGAGGACCCAGCTGCTGTTTCTCATTATGCAAAGGTCATGAAAACAATCAGAGAGAAGTGAGTTTCTCCTTTACCTTGTTTTTACCAGTCTTTCTTTTTAGTATATTACCAGCTTCTTGTAATCTTTCAAACTTTTTATTTTGGTTTTTTCCAATACTTCAATAATGTTTTGCCTACACTGTGCTGTGCATTTTGCAGGGCAAACCTATTGACAGAGTCCCAAGATATCTTAGAGACCATTGATCTAGCAACACACGATATTCCCGATGCTCGAACTTATCTTTTGACCTTGAAGGAAATTAGAACCAAGTACGCGACTCTACTCTCCATTTTGTAACTAGATGTTATGCATACCGATAAGTAACATGTGCTGTTGTTGTTGTTGTTGCTGTTGTTGTTGCGGTTGTTGTTTTAGTTATTATTTTTCTCATTATAAACATTTTTTATTTTTAGTTTTTAACAAAAGAAATCTTTATCTTGTCAATCTTGTCAATTGCAGATAGCTGATATGTAATATGATATTCCTATTCTGTTTAACTTTTATTCATTGTCTAAGTGCTTTTTTTTTTAACCTGTAGGCTGTAGCTCTTCAAATTGTTAAAAGTTATTATTAATTGCCCGATTAGTTGTCATGTTTAAATTTTTGTTCGTGCTTATGTTATACACACACAAATGAATAAAAGTTAAGGCAATTGGACAAAATGAAAGTAAAGGCAATGCGTTAAAGACACCCCTTGCTTAAGGGTACATTAGGCTCTAGTCACATCAACTCATATATGTTGGTACACTCTTTTTTTCAGGAGAGGTCTTATAGATAATCTTGGAGCTGAGGCTTTGATGATTGATGCATTGGACAAAATTGAAAAGGATCTAAAAAAACCCCTATTGAGAAATGACAAGAAAGGAATGGACCTTCTGTTGGCAGAGTTTGATAAGATTAATAAGAAGTAAGTTCATATTCCTATATTATATCTATTCAAGCTTTGGTATGTAACTATTTATTTACTTTATATTTTCATGCCATTTATCGAGATTCTTGCCAACTATTTGGTGATTTTTAAATGTTATTTTCTTGTGTAGTTGGATTTCAGCATCCTCATTCTATTGAAAAACGCTCATTTCATATTATGTTATAGAGGTGGAAGTTTTGTGATAAAAAATATTTTTGTTGAGTAGAGGTGTCAGTTGACTCTTACAATTTACAAACATTTGTAGTTTTGTTCTTTTCTTTCCAAATATTGCATTTCGTGGCCTGCTTGTTTGAGAATTTCATAGTCTATCCTTAGTGTGTTGTATGGTCAATTGTCCCCTCTTGTGTGTTTGTTTGGGATTCCATTTTGTTGTTTGAATGCCTTATTTTTTGGGTAAGATAAATGCCTACTTCACTAGTGAGGAGTCTTAGATGTTTAATAATTATATATTCATTTGAGCAAAATGAATTATTGAGTTATAATTACTTCACTTAATTTTGGTTTTCCACTTGTTGATTTTTTGGGTAAGATAAATGCCTTCTTTACTAGTGAGGAATCTAAAATGTTCAATAATTTCTTCATTTGAGCAGAATGAATTATTGAGTTATAATTACTTTACTTAATTTTGGTTTTCTTGTTGTTGATTTTTTGGGATAGATAAATGCCTACATAACTATTGAGGAAACTAAAATGTTTAATATTATCTTCATTTGAGCTGAATGAATTACTGAGTTATAGTTACTTTACTTATTTTTGGTTTTCCTCTTGTTGATTTTTTGGGTAGGGAAAATACCTACTTCACTAGTGAGGGTTCTAAAATGTTTAATAGTTTTCTTTATTTGAGCAGAATGGATTACTGTGTTATAATTCCTTTACTTATTTTGGTTTTCCTCTTGATTTTTCATCCTTTGATGATGCCATCTTAGACTTGGAATTCAAAAGCAAGAATTGCCAAAGTTAGAAGAGGAGCTGGAGCTTAAAATAGCCAAAGCACAGCTGGAAGAGTTGAAAAAGGATGTTGTTGAGGCAATAGAAACTCAACAGAAAAAGTAAGTTACAGTCACAACCCCATGTCTTATAACTACTGACAGCACCATTTCAAACTACTGTAAATTTCCCCTTCTCCTCCATTCACCTGCTTTTGTAACAAAATTCCCTTGATAAGCACGCGATATTAGCTTGATTTTAACTTCAAAGATAGGCAAATGTTCCTATGACTTTTGAATTTTGGAATATGTGAATTTGACATCTTACGAATGGATTTGTTGGAAACGTGACTATTGTTTTAGCTTCTATAATTCGAGACACTTTACCAGTTTCTCTATGAAGTACTTGTTTGATTTATTTTTCCTTGTCTGTTTGCCATTTCAGGGAGGAATTCAAGGATGAAGCCGGGGCAGTTGATGTCAAATCTTTGGACATCCGGAACTTCCTTTAAAATGTCTTCGACATATTTTTATACATTATAAAATATTTTACTTGGATAACGGTGAGGCCATGTTTCTTCAATAAGTAAGACACCAGTGATTTTGAAATGCAACATTGAAGTCAGTTTGAAGATTCTTGAGTTTTTCAAGGTCGTTTTTATTCAAATTCCTAGTTAAATCTGGAAGTTGAAGTAATCAAATGTTCTATTTTTTTGTGAAGTTGCCCAGTTTATTCTTATTAAATTCATGGATGTTCTCCATTTTGATTGCTGAAGGTCTAGACATCTCCAATTTCCGCATTAAAATGAAGTAATTGATATCCCAAAAGTGAAAACTGGGATGCCCAGATTTCGATTAATAACTTGTAGATATGATCATATCTAGAATGACATCAACTAGAGTTTCTAATTTTTGAAATCAAATTGAAACTATCTTTTTTAGACGTTTCTTCCTCTTAAAATATTGCAGGAAATAATTGCTTATACTGTCAAACAACTCATGATGTTGGAATATAACAGAAGCAATTTTCGCTTATTCATTTAGTCCCACCAAGAATTGAATAATATCTGTATTTTACTCTGAATGGTCTTGCATTTCTCTACGGCTGAGAGTATTGCCTTGAACCTCTTGATCCAGCAATCAAATTTTATCGATTCAGGATAAATCTGAGTGTTTTTTCAGACTTGTTGGAAGATTAATTTACCTCACTACTCCAAGGCCAGACATAGTGTTGCGGTTAGAATATGATTTCAAATTATTAATTAATTTGAATCGCATCTTTAGTTCACAACCGCTCTTTTATTTATCCGAAGGAAAAGGTCAAAAGAGGAAAACCTAATTTTGCATCGTAAAGACAATGCAGGAAGAGATCTAGGTAAGGGGTTGGTTAAGCTTAGGGAAGGTACTAGCACCCTAAACTTCTGTAGTACTCTACAGGAACCTTTTGTTTATTGTATGCTTTTTTATTTTATTATTTGTTTGAAATATATTGCTAAGGGATAGAGTGACCTAAAGACCTAAGGGTTAGTCCTAAGTTTACTCGGCAAGACGTCGCGTCTTGTGCCTACGTATCCTGGATAGGGAATGAAATCAGAGTAATCGTAGTTCCCCTCGAAATGGAGGTTAGAAACGTCTTGACTGTGGTCAAGGTTTCAATGGGGAATAAACGTATCTTAAGGACACGCTTATGTGGAGTCTTTGAAACTCCTATTTCTACGTTGAATTTGTTAATTAAAAATTTAGGGTTGAAATTAGGGATTCCACGGCGGGAAACCCTAAAACAAAGTACGGCGACTCTTTGACCTAAAACTAGGGTAAGGGGTATTTTTGTCCACGGCGGGACGCCTAAGTTAATTAGGGTTTGAGACGGCTAAAACTAGGGTTATTTACTCGGCGGTCAAACAACTAGACCTAATTCCTTCGGAGGGAATTCTAACGGTAAAACATGCAAACATGACAAAATATTATACGGCAAAATTAAAGTGCGGAAAGTAAAGAAAGCGTCGCGACGATCACTCGCGTAAATTACAAATCCCAAAAAAAACAAAAACAAAATAAATCGCGACCATGGCCTCGCGTAAATTACATCCATGGAACAAAATAAATTAAAATAAATATGAATCATAATCTATGTATAATCTGAGGAGAGAAACAGAGAACGTTAGTGAAAAGTTAGACGAAAATATGGCAAACGTATTTTATATTAAAAGAAACACGAAAATGCAATTTGGAATTTTTATTATTGTTTTGTTAATTTTTATATTTTTTTTATTAAAATTTTAGTCTTAATTTTAAAAGGTTTTAATTTTTAAATAAACAAAACTTTAGTTTTAACTTTTTATCTTTAGAAAGTTTTAATTTTAATTTTAATTTTTAAAAGAGAAAGTCTTAAATTAAAAAAAACTCTAATCATAAGTTTTTTTTTTTAAAAGAAGAAGTTTACATAAAAAAAAAAGGTTCGTTAGTCTTACTTTAAAAGAATGTTAGTTTTAAAATTTTAAGGAAAGTTTTAGAAAAAAGTTTTAACCCTTTCTAACATGTTTTAATTTTTAATCTTTAAAACTTAAAAAAAATGTTAATTTTAATACTTAAAAAAAAAGTTTTAATTTTAGGACTGGGTTAATTTTAAGTTAGTAAAAATGTTTTCACTTAACTATAAAAGTGTTTTAAACACTGTTTATTTATTAAAAAAAATTATTAGTGGTTAGTGTTTTAATTAAGAAAAAGTTTTAAGTTTTTTACTTACTGTAATTATAATCAAAAACTGGTTTTAGTTATAATTCACAAAAAGGGTTTTTAGTTAGAAAAAAAGAAAAGGTTTAAAAAATGAAATGAGAGTTTAATTATTTGGAAGAGGTTTTAATTGGGATAACATAAAAGCTTACATTTCAGTTGCCGGTTGGTGATGCTTTCGCTTGTTCTTCGCCGGCGGCAATGGTTCTCGACGAACTTCTTTGGATCTCTTTTCCTCTTTCTCAAATGGAGGTGATGATGATGAGCTTCGAAACTCTTCTGAACCTCCGGATCTTGACGACCGCCGTTTTTCTTTTTGTCTCCTCTTCTGATGACCTGTTCTTGATTTTCTGATGTGAATCAAGTTTCCTCCCATCACTTATGTTTATATAGGTAACAAATTAGGGTTAGCTCTAACCTAATTCCCACTTTAAAGCCCAACTTAAAGAATTAGTCAAAACTAAATTAAAACAAACTTAAAACAACTTAAAACTCTATTTATTTACTAAATATAATAAAATATTTTCTAATATTTTTAATTTTTTGATTTTTTGATGTTTTTTTATGAATAATATGGGAAAAAGTGAAAAATAATATTTTTAAAAAAATAATTTAAATAAAATACGAAAATAATAATTAAATAATTAAAAAAACTATTTTTGTTATTTTTTTTTTATGAAAATAGAAAAGTTAGAATAAAAATAAAAGAAAAACAAAAAGTGAAGAAGGTGGGATTTGAACTCTCGACCTCTCACACTCACAACTCCTTACACACGGTCTCTTGCCAATTGTGCCATTTTATTCATTCAAAATAAAGTGGCACTAGAAACTATGTAAAGGTAGGACAAATTTGGGGTGCAACAGATGCCCCTATTTAAATAGCTTCACCGGATGATTTGAGCAGCGGAGACTCGAGAAATCGCGGTGAAAGGGATTTAAATACAGATAACCGAAAATTTGGCCTCTAGATGCAGTGATATGCAATGATATGGACAAAATAACACGAACTATAATGCTGACAATGCCATGAATCTAATATGATGCGTATGATGAAAATGAAAAAAATGCACGGATGCAGACGAAACAACGTCACAGGGGACGGCGCAACGAGGAAATGCACTGGGGAAGAAGACACGCGGTGGTGACAAGGTAACATATGATCCACACGGAGGCAGGACCAGGTAAACGACAGACGCTAGAGTTTTCGGGACATTCCTTGAAGAGATCGAGCGGGATCTTCAGGACTCACCAGAAAACATATAGGGAGAGACAACATCAGAACATTTCGGAAGAACATCGAAAAGGAGACACGTCGTATCTGGAAGAACGTCAGATAGACATGACACGAAATAGTCGATGGGTGCCAAGTAAACTGGACTTTGTCCACAAGGTAAGACGCGGATAAAACACGACCTCGGGGAGAAAAATGCGAATGGGGATAAAACACCCATGATGCCAAGTAAATAAATTCGTCCACGAGGTAATACGCGGGTAAAACACGACCTCGGGGAGAATAATGCAAATGAGGATAAAGCACCCATGATGCCAAGTAAATAAATTTTGCCCACAAGGTAAGACGCGAGTAAAACACGACCTCAGGGAAAAAAAAAGTAAATGGGGGTAAAACACCATGATGTTAGGTAAACCCAGGAATATCTGGTAAACGGGGAATAAAACACCCGGGATAAAGGTACATGGGGGATAAAACACCCAAGGATAGAAGGTAAGTGGGGAGTAAAGCACCCAAGATAGACATGTAAATGGGGAGTAAAGCACCCAGGATAGAAATGTAAATGGGGAGTAAAGCACCCAAGATAAAAATGTAAATGGGGAGTAAAGCACCCAAGATAGAAATGTAAATGGGGAGTAAAGCACCCAAGATAGCACATGTATAGGAATTATGCTATGGCATATGATCAAATGCAAATGCAGACGTCGACGACAAGACTCGACTCTTTCTGTGAGATGACAAAACTGGAGGACTGATTCCTCAACACGGAGATCACTGTCATTCTGTTAAACTGTATCAAGTTGATAGTCACTGTAGGAATGATGAATAACTGCTTGGGGATTATGCAAGTAAACTGCCCCAGGTCAAATGAATTGATAATTGCTTCAGCTGTCTGATTCGTGGAATCGACTGTTTTGTTGTATCCTCGGAGGGCTTGCCCCAGTCTGAGTCTTGAACAATTCTCTGGATAAACCAAATCTGAGAAGATATTGCCTTGAACAAATCTTGAACTGATTCTTTGACAGGATGTAAAAGGAACTTGCCCCTGATAAGATCACTTGACCAAGTTTCTCATTGTTTGAAAATTCCTTAGAGGAAAGCCAGTTTGCAAACAAAAATATTCATACAAACATGGTAATGCAAAGTTCATGCGACTTTTGAAATCAAAATTATTTTTGAAAGATGGAAAATACATGAGTCGTTAGTCAGAACACGGTGGTTCAAGACGCTCAAAGTTTAAAACAAAGGTGTACTGCCAAAATAAATGATTCCCAAAGATCTTTAGGATTCAGGTTACGCAACCTTGCTGTAGTATACTTTCAAAATAACCTTGCTTCAATTAGGTCTTTTGAGGGTTGTAATGTGGCCTGGTTCACGGTTTATGAAACAAAGGATAAAGGCTCAAAATTTGTTTGTTCCCACCCCATCTACATGATGATCTCCAGTCCTATGCTCAGTTAACTCCTATTATGCATTTAGGTTCCTATAGGTTAGGAATTGCACTGATGGTAGCAATGATGGTTCAGAAGTCAATGGACCTATGAAAAG